GCCGAAACCGGTTTGGCTCAGTGGATAGAGCGTCGGCCTGCGGACTGAAAGGTCCCAGGTTCGATTCCGGTCAAGGGCATGTACCTGGGTTGCGGGCACATCCCCAGTAGGAGATGTGCAGGAGGCAGCTGATCGATGTCTTTCTCTCATCGATGTTTCTAACTCTCTATCTCTCTCCCTTCCTCTCTGTAAAAAATCAATAAAATTTATTTTAAAAAAAAAATGACCAAGACTAGCAGCCACTAGCAAATAATCAGTATTTCCCAAAGTCACATCTGCAGAACACTACTGCATATTAATAAGTGTTACTTGAAGAAGGGGCTTACAAAACTTGAGAATCATCAGGTAAAGTTCTTTGCTCTAAGTTGCCTCAGAGTCCTTAACATACTCATGTACACTGCAAATCCCCCACAGAAAAGCAGCACTTTCCAAACTTACTTGTCCAAAGAATTTTTTTTTCAAGAGTCCCATAGAATGCTCTTTGAGAAATTCTCCTTTAGATAATATAGTTTTATACAAAGATCTCAATCCTTTTAGAATCCTTGGGAAGGCCAGGGTGGGGGGAAGGAGGAGGAGGAGACATTTTTTGAGGGAATAGAAGCATGTGTGCTAAAAAAAATCCCAGATCATATCAACTCATATATTAAGGTATTTGATGCCACTCATTTGGTTCAGATAGCAAAAAGTATGCATTCTATCTGGTTTCTCTTTTCACCAAGTCTACCTGGAAGATCAGAGTCCATTGCAGCTGTCGCCAACCCGTGGTCCGCGGACCACTGGTGGCCCGCGAGGTCCGAAAGGCTGGTGACCGCTACATTAGAGTAAACAACCCTAGGTGTCTGGGATAAGTAGCTCTTTTTCCTGACACTCTCAAACTCCACGAGCCGTCATAATACCTTTATCATAAGTTAACTCTTCTGAAAGCACGCAACAATGGAATGAATTACCCAGATAGTACTGTGCTGCTGCCCGGTTGGTATAAAGAACAGCATTCAAATCAGGGTCTGCACATTTTTTCTTTAAGCCTTCAGTATACGAAATCACAGCTTTTTCATAGTCTTTTTCTTTAAAGTATTCATTGCCCTCATCTTTATAGGTCTTGGCCTGTTCTGCAAAGAAAACAAAAAATAATCAAAATACCTTATTTTTTTAAAGGCTCAAGATAAAAATATTCTAAATCATGCAACAATGACATGTAATAAACCAAACAGAAGAAACTAAAAGGGAAAGAAAACTCAAAAATTAATCCTATAAAACTGGGTATTAACATGGAAGAATAGTCATTTGTACGTACTGCTACAATCAATTCCAAATATTTTACAAGGGAGATTATTAAGTGCTTACCAACAAAGAAGCATACAAGAAAAAGGCGTGCTTACCCGAGCTCCTAAAGAACTTTCTCTTTAGTTACTGAAGAAATGGGGAGGGGGGAATTATACTTCCCCCCATTTTGCTTTCTGTTCTTTTACTCCCTAGAATACAAATTCCCTCCTCACCCTAGTAAGAGCCTACACAATTGTTAAGACTCAGTTCCAGTTTCTGGTCCGTTGTGAGCCCACACCTACCTCTCTGCCCTCGGTGTTCCAGCAGCACTTACACACAGGTTTTGTCCTGATTCTTTAGGACAATCTGGCTACCCACTGGCTCACGGCCTTAGAGGGCTGTCTTCTTCATCCCTGTATCCCTAATGCCAAGCACTTAGTAGGTATCCAAAAAACTGTGTGGCATAAACAGTGACAAGTTGTCTCCGACTAACCACTACTTGTTATAAATCAGAACGACTCACCCTTGACCTCAGTTCTACGGAGACACAAGACAAACGTTAGAGTCATGGAAGATACCTTCTGGAGGTCGCTCGTCATCAAAAATAATTGACTGGAGGCAAGCCAGGTCCGGGTTCTCCTTGGGATCAATTTCTGACGGCGTTTTCTTCATAAACAGGGGGATCTTCTCAAATTCCTGGAGATTGTTAAGAGAAGCATGAACTATACAAACGGGATTTGCCACTGAGCAGATCCAACTCCACGTCTCTACATCCAAGCTTCCTTTCTTATCATGCTTTGCAAAGCATCCCGACTGGCGATATGGCTACCCACCCGGCCTCGGCTTCCACCTGTAAAACGCGTGCAGAATCCTGATCTCAGAAGACTCTGCAGTCACCACGTCCTGACCAGAGCGGCAGTGACCGGCACGCCCTGGGCGCTCGGTGTCCGCACTGCCCCGCCGCGCTATGCAGGATGGTCTTAGGCGACTCCTGTGAAAGGGTCGTTCGAATGCCAAAGGGGTCGCGACCCACAGGTTGAGAAGCGCTGCATTAGACAAAGGACTGAGCACCTCTGAGCTTCTGGTTCCTCATCTGCACATGAGAAGAATGAAGTCCAGCTCAGGTCATTTTTCTAAATGGCGTCACAAAGCAGAATCTGCCTCAGCCATTAAAGCAGTGGCAAGACCAAAGACATTAGGTCTCTCCTAAAACTGTTCTTGATGGCTACCAGTTCAAGCTGCTTCTCCTTTAATCATGCTCAGTCTTTTCCTGTCAGCCATTTAGGCTTTCCACAGAATATCTAAATATGAGAACAATAAATGCTGAAATGTCAGCAGAATCCAACTCCATCTTCCAAAGATAAACAAACTGATACTCAGAATGGGTGTCTTGCCAAGGCCACATGGTAAGGTAAAACTGACAATTCGAGGATTACAGACTTCCAACACGAGGACAATTGCACAGGACTCCATTCAACTTACTTGCCAATCTTTGCTCAGTACCTTCTTTCCCTATGAGAAACACCCCCAATCATAAAGATCTGAAGAAGCATAACTTTGATAAAGAATTTTAAGCTGGTCCATGAGGATACACGGAAAATTAACATTTGAGGAAATTACTAGTAAAGTTTGCAAAGCACCTTTGAGCTTCTTTAAAAAAAAAAAAGGTTAAGTATAAAAAGTAATAAAAGCACTATTATTACATAGAAAGGTTAGACTACAAGAAAAAGAATAATCAGGAACATCTCAGCCTCAGAGTTATCTTTTAATTAACACTGACATGACATTTGAAGATTTCACTGTTCAATCAACTAATTTGGAAAAAAATTAGAATGTGGCTTTTGGAATTGCTTTATTTTAATTAATTTTATTCTTTATTAATATGAAATGAGGAATGAGGAATTTCAATTTCTCTACAAATTCTTAAAACACAAAGGGCTGGATTATTTTCCGGAGAATTCTTTTAAAGATGGCATGTTGCTATTGATAAGGACTAGGAACTTAATTAACATCAAGATTGCAAAAATAAGGTGATTTCATTAGTATCTTAGCACCTTATTATCAAACCTTAAGATGTCTCAACTTTTGGTTCCATAGTGCTAACTTTTCCTTAATTACTATCATACTTAGTTCTACAAGACTTACCTCTTACTATTGCTTTGAGGTGGCAGGGTTTTAGTTTTCTGGCAGCCGTCACATCATTGAGAGCAGAACGAAAATTGCCTGATGAAACATCATTTAAAAGAAATAACATGGTTTAAAATCAGCATATTTTCAAAATTTCATGTGTAGAGACAAAGACACTCTTGTACAATCTTGGATAAATATAATCAAAGCAACTGTTTTTAAAAAATATACATATTTTTAAAATATATATAATTGTGCTCATCAAAAGCCTTAGAAATGCTTAAATCATCAGGCAACCAACCCACCAAACTACAGATGGCTAGCTAGTAAGCACGTAAAATGATGCTCAACATCAGGAATTAGAGAAATTAAAATAAACATGAAATTGGTAAAAATAAAGTTACATAATATCCAGATATGAAAAAAGGGCACTCTAATAGTAAATTAAAGAGCAAATTAGCATGCACTTTGTGGATACATTGTGACCTAACAATATTCTTTTAAGAATTTATCCTACCTTACATAGTTGCTATGAGGTCAAGAGGGGTAACAAATTTAGAGAAATAAAATGGGAAATGTGCTTTGTAAGCCATACCAGTGACATATTTAAGGAATGGCTCTCATATTTACCTATTTGCTCCTCTGGTGTCCTCACACACACATTTTTTTTCTTGCAAGGTGCTTTTGTTCTTATTAGCCCTATAAATTATATCCTTTAAGCTCCCCAAAGAAAGGAACTATGTAGCTCTTCTTCACAGTGCAGTGCCTAACACACAGATAAAGTCAGGTCTTACTTAGTGCCTGGCACAGAGTATTAAACGCTGAATGGAGGAAATGTATTCCTCCAGAAATTAGAAGACTGGGTTTCTAGTCCAGGTCCTTGCATTAAAGAAAGGGTCCCTCTCTGGGCTTATACAAATTGAGGGCACTGGCTAGC